ATGTTGTTGATGATTCTTACGTTCTTGTATTGGATCTAAACAAAGAGTTCCGTTAGCTATTATAAACCACCACATCCTTCTAGAAAGATAACCAAAGATGACATGATAAGCAAGCTTACTTTCAAGGAAATTCTTTTAATAAGCTTGTTTTATAAATAAAAATGTTTTTTTATAGGATAAGGGTGACAAACGGGCACATAGTGTACGTGATGGTAAGTGGTTGCTGTGGCCCATAGACATTTACATTTATCCTCGATTACGAATCAAAATGGAAATGGAATGGAAATCAAAATCAAAAAGGCAGTTTCTTCATTAAAAATAATATAAAGTGTTTTATAGATAGGTGTTAGTGCTATTTAATGTCTCGGTGTCCGTCTAGGTAGATACCTACCGTAATCGTAATGCGGTCTCCAACAATGGTCATCATATCTTAGAGGGACGTCTGAGCGCCCTGTAAATTTATTATCTCATCATTATCTCACCAATTTCTGCCACTAAGCAGCAATGCAACTACTGCTGTTCAGAGATAGGAAGTGCACGCTAAGTTATTATAATTACAGGCTTTAAGACATTTTATCTTATTCTTCTGAGGTGACAACGAAACTGTAGTCCTCTAAGTTTGAAGTAATATGTGTTTACAGGCCTCTGCAGTCCAAAACGTTGTAAAGCCACACTATATATGGCTCGACCAGGGTGTGGGGCCACGCTTTCACAGAATTCTCACGAAATAATGCAATGCTTTGTATAATTAGTGCAAACCCGATACCAAGTTTTAGTAACGAGGCATTTCATCTTAAGCCTTAGGGGTGACAATTCATCTGCATTGTGACTCCTAATTAATGATAGATGTAGGTGTTTATGGGCCACAGCACTCAAGTGAGTTAAAGTAACAAAACTATCACATAGTCCATTTGATGGTAAGTACCATTAAATGGACTATGTGATAGTTTTTTTTATTTTAATTAAGGTTGAAACGAAATACTTATTTTAAAATTTTCTGTTACTGTATTTTTATTGAAACGTTATAAACATAAAAATTATATAAACTGCTTATATCATTTTTATATCTTAGTGTCGTATACAGAACAAAACCCAACAAGCAAACACCGAGATACTAAGAGATTTCAAAATAACATTCACATGTTAATATGTGGATAGCTGAAGCGCTAAAGCTATGTTAAAGGAACTTACAAAGTGAGCCCAAGCGTTCTCTGTAGCATTGTATCCTAAGTATTGTGTAAACGAGTACAGCGTTTCCATCCCTTACTTTTTTACTTCCCATTTCAGACTTGAGGAAAAACCACTAGAAACCGTGAAAATATTTTTAAATTGCTTTTGTCTTTTGAAAATGTTCTTCCCAAAATGTAGTGGATTCACAGTTTCTAGAATTTTCTTTAGACCGCAGCAGTACAATGATTCACACAATGACGGTTACGGTACCTAGATGGAAACACTTCTATCGTTGGCAGTTAACGAATGTTATATTACTATCTTTCAAGGAAAACATTTTAAACATTTGATGTTATCCGATATCTGACACGAACGAACACGAAGTATATTAGGATACTACTAGTACTATAATAGTATACCTAGAAGTACTGGAACTCACTGCAACGACTAAAGTTCAGCAACCTTCTTGTAAAAAGTATAATTAATTATAAAATGGTGCTTGTACTTATATACGGCATTTAGAAGTTTTAATTAAGAATAAGTCCTAAATTTAAAGTGGGCAAGATGAATTTCGCGAGGCGCCTGGCAACGAATAAATATTTTCAATAATTATATTCCATTACAACCCTCCACTAGTCCACTGCTGAACATGGCCTATGTCTCCTAACGACTGTCACGGTCTCAACCCACATAAATACATCAACGTCCTGCGTGTTTTATCAATTCATTCGGCCTTTATTTGGTGGGGGTCACCTCATTTCCCTTACCAGGAGGCTCACTCGGGAACCTTTCTTATATATGGGTTGTCGGCTCTTCGAGCTATGGCCGGCCGATTTTTTTATAGGATAGAGTGACAAACGAGCACACAGTCCACCTGATGGTAAGTGGTTGCTGTGCTCCATAGACATCTACATCTATCCTCGTTTGCGAATCAAAATGCAGATGCGGATGACACCCGTGAGGACTAAGATGGAAAGCCTCTTTTCCAGTAAAAAGGGTCTCCGGTTCTCTACACTCGCAATACGAAACACAGCAGTGTTAAGCTGCTATTTTACGCTGGTATTCTGTGAGAGCATGATCCTTCCCCGGCCGGGCCGACCCATTCGTGCTGCAACTATACTACTTATATAGCTGCTGCATGGTTCTACCACGCAAAACGTACACGATTGCACATTCTTTATTGTGATACATTGGACGATGTCGGTAACTCTGATTCTGCTGTGGATGTCTTCAATACGGATTCTGTTACGTTGGTTATTATTATTATTATTATTTGACAACTTTTGCGTGCGTCCAATCGTTAAGGACCTTGTCTTGGTTGCATAGATCGCCACTGGCAACACGCACTGACCAGTACAATTGTATTAAGGTTTTGATGTTAATTGCACTACCCAGTCGAGTTCGATTCGTCGATTCGTCGATCACTTGGTCGAAGCTGAACTTGCCTAGTGGGATCATTTCTGTGCCCCTGGTTGAAAAAACATTTAAATGTATATTTTACAGGAGACAAAATTATTATAATTTAAATAAAACAGAAAAATAACTTACAAAATATATATACCCTTCATTAAATTTGTTATCGATATTTGTTATACATAGGTCACTCAATAAGTTCCATTCACCTAAACCAACTCTGAAAACACTTTTGCCAGTTGATCGCAATTGATTGCTTGATCTGACCGGTCGGAAATCGCTTCTTCATCGCAGCCACGGCTTCTTCGGCGATTGAAAAAAACTTGCCTTTTATTTTTTCTTTGACTCTTGGGAACAAAAAGAAATCACAAGTCATGGCTGTAGGGTGGGTGACTTAGAGTTTCAACACCAGATTCCTCAATAAATGCTTTTGCACTAAGGGAGGTATGTGAAGAGGCGTGATCTATCCCTTATCTATCTATCCTTCTATCCCACACAGCTTGAAAAGCTTTGAGTAATGCAACTGTAGTATATTATTCAGAGTTGACTGATCTAAAATTTTCCAGCGTCGACAAATGTCCGCTCCGCGAAAAAGACTAGCCACTATTTTTGCCGACATTGCGAGGTCTTTGCAGTTTTGTCGGCAACTGTCCTTCTGAGTAGACCCATACCGATGATTGACTTTCCGGATCCTATTGATAGATCCATGTCTTGTCACCAGTAACGATTTCTGAAACACGCCTAGATGCCACGTTTTCAAAACGTAGACGCATTTTATGGCACCAATCCACACGATTCTGTTTTTCGCTTTCGGAGAGCTAACAAGGGATCCATCGACAACAAAGATTTCTCACTCCAAGGTGTTGATGTAAGATGGTATGAATGCTCCCCGAAATAATGCCTACAATCGTTTCGATGTCCGTATATGTGATTCGTGGGTCTTCTCGCACCAACACTTCAGTAGTCTAAGGCACGCTGCCTACGAAGAAGCAATTTCCGACCGGTCAGATCAAGCAATCAATAGCGATCAACTGGCAAAAGTGTTTTCAGAGTTGGTTTAGGCGAATGTAACTTTGATAGAGCGTGATGTAGAATATTTTGAAAAGATGTAAAATAAATATTAATAGTATCTAGAATACTTTTTGTATATCTCTAAACTTATTGAGTGACCTATGTATAACAAATATCGATAACAAATTTAATGAAGGGTATATATATTTTGTAAGTTATTTTTCTCTAGTCTTTATTTAAATTATAATAATTTTGTCTCCTGTAAAATATACATTTAAATGTTTTTTTTCAACCAAGGGCACAGAAATTATCCCACTAGGCAAGTTCAGCTTCGACCAAGTGATCGACGAATCGAAGAATCGAACTCGACTGGGTAGTGCAATAAACATCAAAACCTGTACTGGTTAGTGCGTGTCGCCAGCGATGACCTATGCAACCGAGATGAAGGTCCTTAGCTTTGGGACGCACGCAAAAGTTGTCAAATAATAATAATAATAATAACCAACGTAACAGAATCCGTATTGAAGACATCCACAGCAGAATCAGAGTTACTGACATCGTCCAATGTATCAACAATAAAGAATGTGCAATCGTGTACGTTTTGCGTGGTAGAGCCATGCAGCAGCTATATTAGTAATATAGTTGTAGCACGAATGGGTCGGCTCGACCGGGGAAGGACCACACTCTCACAGAATACCAGCGTAAAATAGCAGCTTAACGCTGCTGTGTTTCGTATGGTGAGTGTAGAGAACCGGAGACCCTTTTTATTGGAAACGAGGCATTCCATCTTAGTCCTCACGGGTGACAACGCATCTGTATTTTGATTCGTAATCGAGGATAAATGTAGATGTCTATGGGCCAAAGCAACCACGTACCATCAGGTAGACTGTGCGCTCGTTTGTCACCCTTATCCTAAAAAAAAAATTTTATTTATAAAACAAGCTTATTAAAAGAATTTCCTTGAAAGTAAGGATAAGCATGTCATCTTTGGTTATCTTTCTAGAAAGATGTGGTGGTTTATAATGGCTAACGGAACTCTTTGGTTAGGTTAGGTTAGTCTTTTAGTTATGTCTTTGTCTCTTTTAAAAGACAACATACGATTATAATGCCAATAACACGCTATAAAGATTTTATTAATAATCACACATAGAAAAATGATAAGTTCTATAAAGACGTACTGCAATGACTAACACGGTGGGGTATAAAACTGCTTGCTACCCTTATCAGACATCAATTAGAATTGAAGCGTTGTTAAACGAGAAATCATGAAAGGTAGATGAGTTCACAATTATTGCAAATATATTTCTTTGAAATAATTTTTATACTTTTTATTAATTCTTTTAGTATTTGTTACAGTCCTATTAATAATTTTACTCACAATTGCCGCAGCGGCTACTTCAGAAAACCTGTGTCCTAAAATACAAGAAATTGATTGGAATATAGAACTGTTGTTACCACATCAGCATTGCAACAAGTTCTATCAATGTGTGCACGGCCAGCCGGTGGAGATGTCATGTCCAAAGCGGCTTCTTTTCAGCATAAACAAACAGGTTTGCGACTGGAGGGCAGATGTTGATTGCGGAGATAGAATAATTGTTGAAGATTTGAAGCCAGATGACGAGGAAAGCGAAGAAGTAGAAAGACCTGTCTTCCCTGTTATAGAATTTCTTCCAAATGGTTGCCCGGTAAATCGTGAAATACATTGGCTGCTGCCTCACGAGAAAAGTTGCAGTCTATTTTATTATTGTGTGCAGGGTGAGAGAGAAGTCAGACGGTGTCCGTTTTGGTTGCATTTTAACAGGAAGCTTCAGGTACGATATTCCATTACAGTGATAAATCTCTGTTTGTTCTATGTAAGTTATAAAGAATTGTGCATAAACGCAACTTTTTTAGAGCAATCATTTGACTTTTAAAGTTCATTGTCGTACATATGCCTATATTATCGAAAATGTACAAGCTCACTGTAGGAATATTCCATTGTTGTTGAGCTGCTATTCTCGCACTGGCAATATTGCACCCCAGCACTAATCTATGGACCTGGAACTTGGTATTTTTAGATAGATTTTTTACCATTGGTTGTGATCAGAGTCTCGTTCCCCACCCATAAGATGCACCTCAAGACAATTCTGTTTTTTTTTTCTGTACAGGTTTGTGACTGGCCAAGAAACTCTGGTTGTATCGAGTTTGCAGAGTAACGTGACAGCAAGATGAAATTATAGCAAATAAAAGCAATTTTATATAACATAGTTTTAAATATGTCAATAGTTTTATCAGTACGATGTAAAATTTGTGATTGTTTATCCAATATTATAATAGATTACTAGCTGACCAGGCAGACGTTGTTCTGCCCTTTCCGAACGACCATTTGCTTTCCCAAAAAGAAACTCCAGAAATTAGCAATAAAAATATTGAGGGTCATTTATCGGGATAAAAACTATCCTATCTCTCAAGTTAGACCGAACTGCACAAAGTGTGCAAAGTTTCATTGAAATCAGTTAAGTAGGTTAGGAGTTCATCGCGGACAAACAATGTGACACGTAATTTTTATATATAAAGATTAAAGCCGTAATAGGTCTTATTTTTAATAAATGTGTTAATGTGACACAGCTTTTATCATTTTAATTTGTAATACCTAAAGCACAAGTAACACACTTGTATTTTATACGCAATTTGAGCTTCACACTGCACTGAAATAAAGAAATAAATATCCAAAAAGCCAACTGATAAAGTTGAAGGCAGATGGTGGCAGCGACAGCGTCGTTCCGGTGTAATAGAGTTTTTGAGTGAGGTCGAGGATTTTTACGGACACCTGTAAGAACATATCGTCGAAAAACGACCCGATGGAATGATAGCAGAGTTGATGAAAGCGGGTGGGGAAATACTGAAAGACCTTTAGAAGCTATTCATGTCCGTCCTTCTCAGTGATACGTCTTGGGAAACGTGGAGCAGAATTGTGGTAATTTTATTCCTCTAGAAGGGTGATAAAGCCGTTTTGAAGAATTTTAGTCCGATTTCCCTTCTGAGCGTTTACGTGCACGTTTCGAAAGCTATTTATTACCAATCGTCTCGCATGTGAACTTCCGTAAAGTAAAATACTCAATATATGCTTCGCTTATTGATCTCAATAGTGTTTTCTAACGGGTAGGTCTTAAGATGCACATGGACAAGTTAAAAATCTTGTCTAACGTCCATGTTACACATATACCGGGAGTTGTTGGGAACACTACGCTTGCAGTTGTTTATGAGTATGTGTACCCAGCCCTGGATCTTAAAATTTTTCGAGGCGGGGCAAGAACTGAAAATCATCATTTCAGCCATAAGACGACCATTGTTAGACATTGGTCTTTATCCAAAGAACGCCACTCCTATTGGTCTAGCGCTGCTCTTATTCTCTTAAGCCTATATTTTTTCCAACAGTACATGGACGTGACGGACATGTATTTTAATTAAGATAGGACAGGCTAGAGTCTGAAATAAAACGTGAGGTATAAAATAATTATTATATTGCACATTGAAATTATTATTTTAATTTTCGAGCCGTTTGTTTTCTAAACTAATCTATGGCCTTGTCATTATTAATCTCATGAGCAGTCCGATATTCTATTGCTAATATTGCGAGACTCGATAAACGTTCCTGGCTCGTCGACGATCGTAGATAATTTTTAATAAGTTTAAGTTTGCTAAAACCTCCCTCGCAGCTTACGGATGTATTAGAAAGCGTAGAGTAAATTCGCAGAGTAATACAAATATTAGAACAAGCATCTTGCAAATCATACTCTCTGAAATTGCCGCCCGGGGCACGGGCTCCGGCGTGCTCCTCTCTAGATCCGGGCTGTGTGTACCAGGGACAAAATGTCTGATTAGGTGAGTGAAGCTTCAACCAAGAGGTCACGAAGGTCCAAAGAATGAAACTCAGCCGGGCTACGTTCAGGAAATTAGTACAAATATTTTTGTTCGACATTCCTCAGAATTTTAAGGCAATATTGTACAACCTGTGCGTATTAGTAATGATGGCAGATATACTGTGTGCTAATTTTTCACTTTCATTAAAATAAAACTACATACCTATTTTAAATATAACTGCATTTTTGTTGAAACATATGCAATTGAAAACTTACAAATAAAACATATCATAAACACTCACACATTTTATGAACTAAAAATGTCGACCGCAATCACCAGGTGACGCCACTGGCCCGGATATCCCTTCGATTAAAGTAAGAAAACTGATAAAAACGACGGAACCGGAAATGCTATCTCAATGTAAAGCTTCAGTAAGTTAAGTTTAAGTATTTTAATATGCGTTTTATTTCAGGTACAACACTTCTATGAACGTTATATTAAAATAATAAAGTTTCATAAAAACTGCAACATGCTATTTCGAACTCTTGGAAGTTGAATTTTCCAAAATTATTTCTTAGTGGATGTATACATCATAAAAGGCAGCTAATTTTCAATTTTCAGATTTCAATTTAGATTGCACCAAGTGTTTTCAATGCTTCCTGTAAAATATACACCTTAATGTTTTTTCACGAAGGGCACATAAATTATCCCATTAGGCAAGTTCAGCTTCGACCAAGTGGTCAATCGACTAATCGAACTCGACTAGGTACTGATTAGTGCGTGTTGCCAGCGATGACCTACGGAACCGAGACAAGGTCTTTAGATTTGGGACGCACGCAAAACTTGCCAAATAATAATCATAATAATCAACGTAACAGAATCCGTATTGAAGATATCCACAGCAGAATCAGAGTTTCCGACATCGTCCAATGTATCAAAATAAAGAATGTGTAATCGGCCGACAATAGCTCGAACAACCGACAACCCATATATAAGAATGGTTTCCGAGTAAAACATTCAGGACGTTGATGTGTTAGGTGGGTCACAACCGTGAAAGTTGTTAGGGACATAGGCCGTGTTCAGCAGTGAACTAGTGGAGGGTTATAATTGAAATTGAAATATAATTATTGAAAATGTTTATTCGTCGCCAGGGGCCTCGCGAAATTCATCTTGCCCACTTTAAATTTAGGACTTAATCTGACCCTGGGCGGAAGTATAACTTCTAAATGAATTATATAAATACAAGTACCATTTTATAATTAATTATACTTTTTACAAGAAGATTGCTGAATTTTAGTTGTTGCAGTAAGTTCCAGAACTTCTAGGTATACTATTATAGTACTAGTAGTATCCTAATATACTTCGTGTTCGTTCGTGTCAGATATCGGATAATATCAAATGGCTTAAAGGTTTTCCTTGAAAGATAGTTAATATAACATTCGTTAACTTGCAACGATAGAAGTTTTTCCATCTAGGTACCGTAACCGTCATTGTGTGAATCATTGTACTGCTGCGGTCTAAAGAAAATTCTAGAAACTGTGAATCCACTACATTTTGGGAAGAACATTTTCAAAAGATAAAAGCACTTTAAAAATATTTTCACGGTTTCTAGTGGTTTTTCCTCAAGTCTGAAATGGGAACTAAAAAAGTAAGGGATGGAAACGCTGTACTCGTTTACACAATACTTAGGATACAATGCTACAGAGAACGCTTGGGCTCACTTTGTAAGTTCCTTTAACATAGCTTTAGCGCTTCAGCTATCCACATATTAACATGTGAATGTTATTTTGAAATCTCTTAGTATCTCGGTGTTTGCTTGTTGGGTTTTGTTCTGTATACGGCACTGAAATATAAAAATGATATAAGTAGTTTATATAATTTTTTAATAAGAATACAGTAACAGAAATTTTTAAAATAAGTATATTTATTTTCAACCTTAATTAAAATAAAAAAACTAGCACATAATCCATTTGATGGTACTTACCATCAAATGGACTATGTGGTAGTTTTGTTACTTTAACTCACTTGAGTGCTGTGGCCCATACACACCTACATCTATCATTAATTAGGAGTCACAATGCAGATGACTTGTCACCCCTAAGGCAAAGCATAGCAGCATAATATGCTGCTATTTCGTGGAAATTCTGTGGGAGCGTGGCCCCACACCCTGGTCGAGCCACATATAGCGTGGCTTTACAACGTTTTAGACTGCAGAGGCCTGTAAACACGTATTACTTCAAACAAAGAGGACTACAGTTTCGTTGTCACCTCAGAAGAATAAGATAAAATGTCTTAAAGCCTATAATTATAATTACAGCGTGCACTTCCGATCGCTGAATAACAGTAGTTGCATTACTGCTTAGTGGCAGAAATAGGTGAGATAATGATGAGATAATAAATTTACAGGGCGCTCAGAAGTCCCTATAAGATATGATGACCATTATTGGAGACCGCATTACGATTACGGTAGGTATCTACCTAGACGGACACCGAGACATTAAATAGCCGTAACACCTATATATAAAACACTTTAAATAATTTATAATGCAGAACCTGCCTTTTTGAAAATTGGCTAATAAATATTAAACACGAATGGGTCGGCTCGACCGGGGAAGGACCACACTCTCACAGAATACCAGCGTAAAATAGCAGCTTAATGCTACTGTGTTTGTTATGGTGATTGTAGAGGAACGGAGATCCTTTTTACTTGAAACGAGGCATTCCATCTTAGTCCTCACGGGTGACAACGTATTTGCATTTTGATTCGTAATTGAGGATAAATGTAGATGTCTATGGGCCACAGCAACCACTTACCATCAGGTAGACTGTGTGCTCGTTTGTCACCCTTATCCTACAAAAAACATTTTTATTTGTAAAACAAGCTTATTAAAAGTATCCTTGAAAGTAAGGATAAGCATGTCATCTTTGCTTATCTTTCTAGAAGGATGTGGTGGTTTATAATGGCTAACGGAACTCTTTGGTTAGATCCAATACAAGAACGTAAGAATCATCAACAACATTCTATGAGTAAGCTATGATAAGAAATTTTACTATGTCTTTGTCTCTTTTAAAAGAAAACATACGATTATAATGCCAATAACACGCCATAAAGATTTTATCATAATAATTACACTTAGAAAAATGATAAGTTCTATAAAGACGTACTGCAATGACTAACACCATAGATAAATATATATGTAGCAAGCGACTAACACGGAGGGGTATAAAACTGTTTGCTACCCTTATCAGACATCAATTAGTAGTGAAGCGTTGTTAAACGAGAAATCATGAAAGGTTAATGAGTTCATAATTATTGCAATTATATTTCTTTGAAATAATGTTTAAATTTTTT